AGACGTGTGCTCTTCCGATCTCCCCAAAACCCCAAAACCCCGAAAGTAAAATATATTCATGATAATGGGAAATTAAGGATTGAAATAAAATTTATAGTTTAACGTTATAATACAAATAATCATATTTAACCTCGCTACAATATAAAATGGTAAACATTTTCAGTCATTCACCTTAGTTGTTATTCTAAATTTATACATTATAGAGCAATTACAGAAATCAAGACTAGGAGAACTATTCTCCAGACAAGGAAAATTATCAATATGAAGATGATCAAAATGATTTAAATGATCAATAATATGATAATGAAGAAGATTAACAGCAGTATGTAGAGTAGAATGAGGAGGGTTATGCTCAGCAAAGCGCTATTAATAAGTATGTTGGAAGCAGGCAGGCAAAAAAGCGTGCTGAGGAGGACGCCAGATTACTTCAGAACAGAATCATGCTGCTTAAATTAGAGGAGAAAAAGGTAAGTTTCCTCACAGCTAATCCTTCTATCATTTCTCTACGAATTCATTTTCTCATAAATTTATGAAAAAAAACATCAATGCTAATTGATATTTTTAATAGGCTTGGAAGAAAATTGAAGATACAAAGAAAAAGGCAAGGGAAATCATGCAAAACAGACAGAGAAATGAGGAATCACTTAGATAGAAGGAACAAAGGGTAAAGGATAAGGAAACTCAAGAGAGAATGCTTCAAGAAAGAAACATGAACTTGAGATAGCAAATCAAGGATGGAGTCTAATAAAAAGCAGAAGAGACTCATACCAAAAAAAGGGAACAAGCTGATCAAATTAAGTATCAGAAGTAAGAAGTTAACGAGCAAGTCAACTACATTAAACAGTAGGAGCAACTGAGAAATGCATCAATGAAGCAAATGATTAAGAATCAAGAAATGTCTCTCGAAGAAAGAAAGCGTCTTCAATAGCAAGAAAAGAGAGCTAAAGCTCGGCAAGAGCTAATTAATCGCATCTTAGAGGAAAATGAGAGAAGAATCCAAATTGAATCTGAAGTATCAAAAATGGAGCAGGAAGAACTTGAGCTCATTGGAAGATTGCAAAACACTCAGATGCTCTAAAAAGCTGCTTACGACGATCTTGAAAACGCACTCGGAGGCTAAGGAAGTGGGACTACTAGCAGAATCAGTGGTATGTGAAATATGATAGGGCCTTCTATTTGAAATGGTTCTACCAATATCTTATAATAAGTAGATGATAATCATAAGAAAATATGTGTACTTTAGACACAAGTCAACTTATGTTCATAAATCATCATTAAGTCATATTCTAAAATATTCATTTGACTTATCTTCATTTAATGTAAAGAGAGGGGTTTTGGGGTTTTGGGGTTTTGGGGTTTTGGGGTTTTGGGG